TGTTGTTTATCTTCAATAAAAAAGGTGGTCGAACGACTGTAACTCGAAGAGAGCCTAACCCGATTTCCTTCTTTTCATCGTCTCGATTGTAACGGATCCTAACAATATGGAACTCACATATGCCCCTTAGGCTTACTAAAATAATTCCAAATAGTTCTTCTGAAGAATCTTGAGGGTGTGGGTGTGCGTGCGAGTTTGAATGTACAGAGGTGAGCTTTTATTGTGTATCCAATCTCACACGCATAGCGGAAGAATCCCCTGATCAGCTAGACTGCAGCGATACCGAATGCTTTATCGAAAGATATTACCATTTCAGATAAATTATACCAAAATGTCTCGATCAGTAGCAGAGATCATAACAGATTTGTCAAGTTTTGATCCATCGACCGCTGATAAATCGCAACGCTTGTCACATGATTGTTATATGATATTGGTTGGCTATCTTAATAGTAATGATAAATTGAAAAAGCTGAAAGACATGATCGAACAACGTGAAGGGTCAAACAATCAGGAAACAACAGCTGCTGCAAGTATAGGAGTTGTGGAATGCGAAGAGGTTGAAACTATTCTGCAACATATCACATTAAAATTTAACACTGAAGAATTGACTGACACACGTCGGCATCATTTCGTTTACGAAGATCATTTCAATACGGCTTTATTCGAATATATGGAAAATAGTGCATCCTTTGAAAAACTGAAGCGAATATGCCGTAAATATGAAGAAAACTCAAAATTGAATGTCGATAATGTGATGAAGGAGCATACGGATCGTGCTAATAAAACACACAGCTATTTTGTTAACAAAGGCTTATCAGAAGACGACGCTCTAGCATCAGCATTTGCTATCGCATTTTATACAGGCTCAAGAAGTGAAGCATGTAGTCGAGGCGCTAGCCTTGTTGCTCGCCGTGCCAATGGTGTAGCTGTTGAACAAAGAACACAAGCAGAAATGAAAGAGGCGTCGATCATTTTGTATTATTTAGTTAAAGGCCTTTCTAATATTACTTACCACTGGGGCTATGTTACGCGGGCTTGCTCACTCAAAGATAACGAACTGAAACTTTACACACCTGGTGCTTTAGTCACATGGCTCCAGTTTAGTAGTTCGAAAAGAGGTAAAGACGTTGCTAAAGGTGGTGGTTTCGAAAATCGTAACACCCAATTCAAAATTTATTCGCTTACTGGGAGACGTATTCAACACTTCTCCAATTATGATCATGAAGATGAGGTATTATTCTTACCTCATTCAACATTTCTTGTCTTTAAACATGTGACTAGCTTTCATGGGGCGCAACACACGATCTATATGCGACAAGTTGAGTTAGGCATGTCAACATGGTCGGTACTTTGGGTTGACGATCGCATTTTCGTTGAAGATTGGGAAAATAAGGCTCATATGGAATATGCAGCCTCAAAGGCGCTAAATATGAATGTGCACTTTATTCCAAAATCAAGGACTGATTATGCAATTTCATTTCTTCAATCCCCATTTGGACAGCATCTTAAAAGCAAAGACACGTTTCGCATTGTAACTGATATGAATCGTGAAAATGAACAACCGGTACATAATGCAGGGGCACGTTTAATCAAACAGTTAAGACAACTTGGGTTTCAAACTCAATGTATGGTATTCACAAGTAGTAAGCGGAAAGGAGACGAAATTATGAAACAGGAACTGAGCGATCAGGAACTAAAAAATGTAATTGTGACAACAAGTACTAGTGATTTGAGACGTTTCGTTAATTTCCAGTAAGCCGTCGTGACTTTACAAGTTCTACTCAATGACTCAAGAAATTAACACAGACGTGATTAAAACAGACTTATAAAATGATAACGGCGCTTTTTTGAAAATTGAATAAGTAAAAAAGTAAATGAAAAATAACTTGCATTACACTGCAATTTATTAGAGAAAGTAGATTCAAAGTAACTATACGACAGGTTTCGTCCTTGCTTGAAGTATTTATTAAACATTGTTTGGCTCTTAACTACGAATTTTGTTACAAAAACCAAGTATTGAAACAAAATCTGATGAATCCATAATTGAGAGCTACTCTCAATGGCTCCTAACCAAAGACTTCAAATTGAAATGAGAGTTATCCCAATTTTTGGAGCTAACAGTTTTAGGGTAATACTAAATGCTTAAACTTATAGAATGACGGCTTACTGAAATATGACTATTCGACCAATAGCAACAAAAAATAGGCGTTTCTTCATTTTTCACATTTTTTGTTAATCATTTCTTTTCGAGTTCTTTACGATACGCACTCAATGATATGACCCATATATGTGAAAATTTGATCCTAAACGCATTTTGAACTGGCAAATCTAGATGTAATACTAAACGTTTCGTAAGCACCAATAAGATTAAGCGCTGCGTCGACGCAGGTACTACTTGTACTCGCATCTTTTTCTATTTTCTACCTTGTACTAGACCGAAGAAAAGTTTCATGAAGAGCGAAAGAGAACCAAAATGGGTATAGTGCATGTTGCAGAGCATACAAAATATTTCGAGTTTTGCAACGAAATCTAAGGCTTAGTAAAGTTTTGTAGCTTGTCTATGAATATTTAAAACAGTTTCCTAAGCCCTTGATAATCATGCAAAGGGCCTCGGGCTTGTACGAAACTTTAAAAACAGATTTCGATTTTGTTTCAGAAAACGTGCTGCATGGAACCAATCTTTTTTCAGTGTATCATATGATTAATAGTTACCTTTATACGTATTTCTATGCATTGATACATAATTTATGAATCCTGGCAAGATGCTCCCCGGACATTTGCTCCCTAACTATATTTAACAAAAATGTTAGCCAGCACGAGATTAAGATATAAATTTATTTATTCGAGGGTATGGGTGTATCGGCGTGAGTGTATCAGTGCAAGTATGGACAAATGGTTATTGTCTTCGCTCACCCGCACCCACACCATTTTTAGATATATATATGTATTTAAAGTATATTTGAGATTATATTGTTAGTTTTATTCATGTTAAGCTGTATTATTATTACTACACTGACAAAATATTGCACAGAGTTAAGTCTTAAGTCAAAATGAAAATGTCAAAATTTTGAAATCGTGTTTCTACCCAATGCAATGCTTCTTGTTTGCCGTTGACCGGTTGTATCATTGGCTGGCATGACCATTGCACCGTTTTGTCTGAACAGGCGAGATTTGAATTTTATAATGAGTTGCTGCATCGACATAAGACAAACTATTGGTAAAACGAGAGGTACCAAGTACACAAGAAAATTAAACGTGTCTAATTGTACCAGAAAAAAATTTGGATTGATATAGCTCTCTCCAAGCTGACCAATAGATATTGGAATCCAAACAACAAGATAAACAAAAGAAATCATTCCTAATTGTAAAGCCAGTTTTCTTTGTTTACGCCAGTTATTCTGAACACGACCGACCACCATCAAACTTTGATTAATAACTCGTACCAAAAGCGCAAGATTGAAAATAGAAATAATCAATACTTGAAAGATACCATTAAAGAAAAGATCAAATGTACCCCAGCTTGTCCTTAAATAACAGGGCATGCCACATAGAAGACTATTAAAATATCTTGTATTTTCACACATCGGACTAAAAATCACAACGATACAATAATAAATCGGTGACCAAATCATACATAATACTAAAGGAACTATTCGAAGTAATCGTTGCTTTTTAGCCCCGAGATTTCTAAGAAAGCCACTATGAAATATAAGGAGATGACGTTCAATAGAGATCCATTCCATTAGATAACCATTAATAATATTTAAGGAAAATTCATACCAAGCCCACCAAGTACAATAAGCAGAGGTGGCTGGTTGAACAATGCCACCCAAACGATAGAAATCCATCGGCATTGGAAGATCAGTCGTCACTTGAACAAAATTAACTACAAGTAAAACGAGTATCGAGTGATGGTGATCTTTTATGGGAGTGTTGCGATTCCAACCAAAATAAACAAAGATAAGAATCGAAACCAAAATTGATGGAATTTCAAATGCAATTAATATGGCGAACTTGACCGAATATGCCAATGAATAACTTACAATATTGCTTGTATTGTTCGTTGACATCGCTTTTATAAAACGGGAAAACGTTTTTTTTTGCTTTATAGTTTATCTAAAGAAAGAATCATAATCAGTGCGCTTACTTAGCTATTAATACCAAGATGTTTTTGAAGATTTTCTTCTAGTAACATTCTTCTTCTGAATAGAAATTCAATTATACCCTTTCTGTTATACAGGAAAAGCATTAAGAAAAGAAAGAGATAACTGCTGTAAATAACATTTTATTATATATTTATTTCAAACAGAAATAAAAAGAGAGAGATTCGAACTTTCATGTCATTGTAAGAGATGTCGAGAAACAGGATAGGTGATGTTGAATAATGCTGTTGAAGTAAAATTGCTGATGTTACGTGACGTGATGATCAAGATGAAATATTATGATTATATACATTATATATTGTCGTTGTTGTTAGATTGAAATAAAAAAGATAAATAAATAACTATAAATATAGATGTGTAAGTATATATATCCCATGAAACTTTTTTTCGAGTCGTAACGCGTCTCTGAGCGTTTGTGAGCGATGGCACTTCACGCATCAGGACGCATCTAGAATGCAACATTTTCGGCGGTGCAGATGCATCCAGGGTAGCCTAACGCGTCTACACTCGTTCAGTATCTAAACGTATCGTAATTCGTTTGCATTTGAAGACGCGCTCGGACCCGCCCAAAAATGTGACATTTACAAGCGTGGGAAAGCATCCAAAAACAAATGCGTCTAAACTCCTCTGGATACAAGATGTGTTAGAACGCGTTTAATTTTTTTCCCCAAAAAAATTAAAAATTATCATCACTCTGTGTCGGAATTGAGCCCACGCATCATATTAAGCCATGATACAACACCCAAATACCATGAGCAACGGAGTGGTAATTTTTCCAACGATAGCGTGAACGAAGATTTGAACCCATGAACAGTTGATTACAAGCCGAACATAACTTGCGCTGAGTCATACATTGCTGGATATTATTATTATGTTCATGAATCGCATGAATTAATTGTTTGACAGTGCCTTCGATAACTTTACGAATAGATCTGTCGACTTATCTTGGTTTGTAAAATAAACATAGTTAGGATATTTGTTGTAATGAAATCAGGATAAATCATTCTTTTTATCAATGAAACAACAGTGGAGAAAAACTCAAAATCTTGGTTCCTGAAAAAATTAAGAAAAACAAATATATCTGTCTTTGTAGTATATATACGCAGTATAATAATATTAATTAACATTTTTTCCATCAGTATAAGCACACTGTAAGAAGTATTTTTATAGAAAACGAGAACGATATATCACAACACATAAAGTAAAAATATCTTGTCTGTGTATTTTTTCGTAAATGCCATACTGTAATCTTTTAAGTCATCCATCGGAAATAGAATGAATGATCTCATAGTATTAAGCATTTTTTAAGCTTAAGTAATTTGTTTTTTTTAGAATAGAATATTGATCAATATTTGAATTAAAATATTAAAAAAATTGTTGGTTTTCAACTTTTTTAAATAGTTACAATGCGGTGCGTTTTTTTCGTTTTTCTTAACTTCATAAAATAAGTTTTAATTTGATGCATTGTTCGTTATAAGGAAAAATAAAGATAATTATACTAAAATCTGTATCAAAGAACATTTTTGTGCAGTTTTTATTTTAGAAGGCACTTGAAAGTAAAAACAGAATATGTATCTAATTTACTTAGTGATTTATGACAGTGATGATGAAAATTATAACGATAATGTCAAGATAACAATCTATCATGTGTGCAACAGAAAGTATTTCCGAGTTTAAGGAAACAGAAGCATACAGTTGTATTTATAGTCTTATATTTTCAATAAAATTTCGAATAGAAATGCATTATCACAGAAATACTCATTTGATAAAATCAATCTGTTAAACCAAACCTTATTTGATTCAATCTTCAATATATAAACGAAGACCAAATTTTAAAATTTAAAGAAAAAAAGTTATGGATATCATATGCGTATTCGATAAAAATAAATAAGTAAATTTCTTATCTATAGTGTGACATTTTAATTACAGCAAACTCCGTTATATTCAAGCCTATTTTTGTATAAATGCAGATTTCGATAGCTATCATTCGTAGGCATAAACCGAAGTCAAAAGAAGTTTTGAAGTTTTGATTTTAGTTTGGAAATATAATCTTTTTCGACGTATTTCAAAACGAAAACGAAAACCGGAAAACCAAAAATATTAGATTTACTGCACGTCTGACCACTCTTCATTGATAGTACCTACTATATAACTATGAATTTAGTTGTGTTTCGGAAATCAGTGTAACAAAACGCATTTTATCTACTTCATTGATTTTACTGTGTTTATTGGATAGCAAATAAATTGCGTTTCAATTGTGGTACAAGATCTAACGCAAGAAAAGACACAGATTGGGTTCACACGCGTTTTTAAATAAGAATTTAAACTCCTTCGTATGCGTTTGCTCTGATTAACGCTAACAAACTCCTCGAAGTTCTTTAAACGCGCTTAAAAAGATAATTGCAAACGCCTTAATCTGCATTTTTATCGTAACTCGATACCGAAACTCATCTAACTGCGTCTAAAATGCGTTTCGAGATTACATGGAGAATTAATGGCATATATCATCACCTTTTCAGAACGGTTGTTTCTTTCTTGGCGCGATTTCATCGACTCAAACGATGCATCGAGCAACATGTCTGATGCATATTTCATTTCGAACTGCTTAAGAGCAAAAATAGTAAAGCAAATAACCCTGTAGGATAAGCTCTGGCCAACTCGCAATTACGACCAGTTTCACACTATAGCGTTCCTTGATATCACTCGAAATCGCTGATTCAAAAAGTGTTTCTTACATAGTTTTGTAGAGCAGGCCATGTGCTGTACGCTAATATGGTCATATTTTCTGTGATTTCTGCGTTGGCAGGAAGAATTCGAAATCTCAGATCATCTATTACTCCATTTGACCACCAATTGTCTCAGCATATATCCAGCAAAACTGTCCCTGGAGCACATGATCAGCCTTCAAATTTGCTCAGGAATTTTGCGACCGATAGCGTTACAAAATGCATTACTTCTTTAATTCCTCAGTGTTGTTGTAAGATGCTCTCAGATATTTCGATTCATTTGTGAATGAGATTACCTATTTCTGTACTCTATCTTGGCACGGCAAGTACTAAGAATGCTTTCCCACTGAAAATCTCCATATAAATCTAGAACACTTTTACTATTGAACTGATCCCTGTGGTGGTGGACCCTGGACCGATTTTTTGTGAGATACTGGTTCGTATAAAAATTGATCGAACTACTTGATTCCATTGCAATTTCGAGCATCTCGCACAAACACTGATATGTTGAAAACGATTACATTCCGTAATGCTATCGCTGGTGAACTTTATGAAAAACTTTGAAAAGTAGTCAAATCTTCTAAAATTAATACAAGGTACTACCAAAAAACCTATCACTACCAATCTTTTATTATAAGAGTGCTGTTATAGAAAAGCATTGATGTTTTTTCTTTATTACAAACTAATTACATATACTGGTTAGATTCCATTTTAGCCCGCAAGAACTTGTATACATTATTTTAAAGCTGCTATCGTCTATATGGAGTTCTTGTACGAATCATAGGAACCTAAACTAATTAGCTATAGATCATCTTTATGTTTCCTACTCCTTAATCAATAAATGTTCCGACAAAGATCTCGAGGGTGTCTTTCTTCTAATAAGTCTACTTTTGTTTTTCCGCATGGATGAATTAGTGGTCACACAGCGGACTTGAGTTGATTCTTCAGGTTAAACTGACTTGTTAATATTCATGATTTATTTACACGGTACAATCGATCAACAACTTGTGTAAGTTTTAGTGAGCATTAGGCATCGAAGAAGAGTAGTAAACGTATTCAGATTCACTCCATGACTTGCCCTGAAACGCTTATCATCAATATTCGTTCTAGAATTTTATGCTCTATTCGCATGGCATATTCCATTAGTTGAACTCTTTACACTCACATTACGATTACGTGAATCGATGTGTGATGATCATTATTCGTGTATAAGCGCACAAATAAAAGCAAATGTTATAATAGGAAGAGTTAGCTGTGCAAAACAGAGATCGGCAATGTGTTGAATCGGGTGAAGGACACTTCGTCTCACCTCTTACGAACACCGGTAAATGTTACCGGGTGTTCGAAAATGTTTTTTTTTGTAAAATGTTATACCGGTAGTTCATAAACACCTATGTACCGGAGATCGTAATATATTTACCGGATGTTCGAAATAGGGTATTCTTGCTATATTTAATGTAACACCCGAAGATCGTAATGAACATGGTCGAATGTTCGGAAAGTTATTCTAAGAGTACTTTAACATGGAGTTCGTGAAAGAACTTATAATAATATTGTAATTGATATCCAGACTTTCTGTTCTAATAAACAATAATAGGTTGTACATTTGATTACATTCATAATTATGTAAGTAGAAGATTATTCTTTCTCTATCTATACTCTACGTGCTATAGTTTTAGCAGTTGTGTCTAATTTTCTTCTTTTAATCTATTCATGAAACCAAGAGATGGTAGTATTCTCGGTTCCTGTAGAAGTGAAATATTATATAATGTAGAAAACAACAGTCTCTACGTTCATAAAAGCATCCCCAGTTGCTGATTGTCTTCAATATTTACAAGATTCAAAATATTTGATTGCTCGTGAAAGATGCGAATTCATATCTCGTTTATTAAATAATAATGTTGCAGCAGCAAGAGACAGCTCTAATGTCGATTATGATGTTACAAAGTTAGGAACACGACAACAACAATCACAAAAATGTTTGAACGAAATTGTAGTAGTGCCACCAATCTTGTCTTCCACATCAACATCGACCTACACACCACATGTGCCAAAAAAAAACTTTTACCATCAACAAACACGGCATTATTATCATTAGCTACTAAGAAGAGTGCTTCCTCTTCACAATCATCCTCTGATGAACGTTCTCCATCTCCACCATTAAAGAAGCAGAAGAACAAAAATAATAAACTGATTAAGAAACAAAAGCAACAACACGTGTTGAAAACAACAACTGAACAAGCTACTCCTGTATCTTATTTACATTCAACTCCAATATTAAGTCGTCTTAGAGTTAGACCCAACAATCATATTGCTGATACAGCGTCATCGTCTTCCACATCATCATCTCAACCTCGTCTCATTGCTACAACATCGAAGAATAAACAAATAGCTATGATGAAGAAGCGTGGACATTCATCGAAGTATGAATGAAATGGTGATTTACATTAACACTAAAGTTATGAATAAATATGTATTTCTTTTCTTTCAATAAAATTGATATTTGTAATAGAGTGTATTGGAGGAATTAGAAAAACAATAGCTAACACTAGAATTATAATAGTGAACTGAAGTGCAAGCTTAATTACTTGAATTCATCAAAACGTTCTCTATACATGATCTTAGGTTGGGAGACTAGCATATCACTTCATACTCTCTCACACGTGAACAAATCTGAGCATACTTACGATAATTGTGTCGTTTTTTTTTATTACGACCTTCATGTCTTTGTGATTACGAACATCCGGACATTCTGATTCCGATCTCCTGGCAAATTTTGATGTTCGTAAAGGGAAAAATTTACATGGAGTTCGGAATCAATTTTCAAAATAGCTTTTTCAATGGTTATAATCGTTGAAAAACTATTTTGAAAATTGATTCCGAACTCCTGCACAGACTTCATTCCGAACACCATGTCTTTTTCTTCATGTCAGGATATCGTAAGCACACTAATTTACAGGGAGATCGTAAAAAAGGGGTGAGACGAAGTGTGCTTTTCCCGTTGAAGCAATGTCAAAGTTCTTTCAAATTAAATTCTTGTAAAATATAAAGCCATTCGGTTTCTCAACTCCTTTGTTAGGACGCTCCGTAAGTCGATTGTGATAGAATTGCCTATATGGTTGAAAACAGAGGCATACACAGGACATCACTTTTTCCTGTCCTTGTCTGTCCTGTTACCTACCTTGGTCTTGACTGGCGGCAGGACAGGACAAAAACCTAAATCTCGACCTGAGGGTGTGGGTGTGTATTATGGGTGGCACTTTAACTTTAAACTTTAATTTTTAAAGTAAAGTTAAAGTGCCACCCTTAGTGTGGATTCGAAACAAGACGCCACCCACACCCATACGACAATTTAGATTCGATAAATACAAATGCAAATGGTCAAAAATCGAACAATAGTGTATTTTCATCGTTTGTAATTATTGATGCTATACATCAATTCTCTGAAAAACAACTACAACTGTTAAACCCAGGGCCAGCTTATATTCCACCCTGCCACACATCAATATTATCTTCGTGTCATTCCATGGATGACATTGTCGAAAGAAAATATGAAGTATTAAAACATTATATTAATATTGCATTGTCGTTGGAAATTCAACAGAAGATCAGTGATCAATTTACAGATTATTTTTCAGTATCAATGCCTTCGAATCTTCACCAACGTGTTCTCTGTGAAGATCGCTTGATTTTATCGACTCGATATTCTTTGGAAAAGAACAATCTCATTCTTCGAAGAATTGCTGATAATATGAATTCGTTCTATTTGGGAAATCTACAAGAGTTTCAAACAAAAGCGCATGATTATTTTTCAAAATCAGATGCTTATAATGTGCTATTGAGTAAATATATAGGCAATGGTGGTCAACAATGGCAAGCTGAATTGAAACAAATGGTCTAATCTATGAATTTATTATTGGAATCATTGAAAAACCATGAATCACTCAATGCCGATCTATATAATCGATTATTAGTTGATGCAAGTAAAGTGAAATTACCATGTTTGTAGTTCTTGCCGGATGTTTCTAAAGTAACGTAGAGTTGATTCTGTTCTTTATCTATTGTATATATATATATATTATTTTTTTCCTCTTAGAATAGAAAAATGAAATTTCATTAGTACCCTATATTACATCGCAGCATAGCTGTTATGTCAGGAGATATCTCTCCTGGCATAAGGAGACTCCATGTTGGTATGATATCATCACTGTACATCAATGGCAATCTTACTCATCTTTCTCAATGGCTCTTTCATCATGGATAACGAACGATAAAGAATGGAATAAGAGAAAGAGAGAGAATTACATTCTTTGTTGCTTTTCTTGTTTGTAGATTCATTCGCTTGTTTGGTTTTGANTCTGTTTTGTGTCATAAAAGTTACTTATTATTATACATTGGATTTACACAAAAATATACTTGACACCCACTGTTGGTTAGTGGCGCTATCTGCGACCACTACCTCTTCTTCTTTCTGTTATCTCTCTATTGGTCAAGAGACCTAAGAGAAGTTAGAGTGGTTGAAGTGATTCTAGTTGAAGTTGGTTTGAAGAAATAAAGAGTTAGGTAAACGTAACTATCTAACACCCACACCCAACTTCTTTTGGAAGTAATATTTCTCTAATTGTTACAGTACCGATAGTCTACTTCCGGTTACTACACTACTATTTATAGAATCTAGAAAAATGTTTCTTTTTTCTATTTTATGTGCGTTATGTTGCTTTTTTCCCTCCATGAGAATCGGAATTAATTTAATTTTAACATCAGACGTAGTTCAGAAAATTCTTGTTGGATGCAAAAACTGTAGCGAGAAAAAAGTAAAGCATTCAGAATCGGTGAAAGAACGACATCAAAAGTATTTCTTTTCTTTCTTTGGAACATAGCACGCACATTAATAATTATGACAACAGTCAATGAACATCTTACGATCGGCCTCCAACATGCACGTAGTTATAACTATGGTAAGGCTGAAAATGAATTTGATTTATTACTCTCATCCGATCGAACCCATACATGTGGTCTTTATTATCGTGGCTGTACAAGAATTTATCTCAATAAATTTGAACTAGCCGTTGAAGATTTTAATTTAGCTATTTCCTCATTAAATCTATCGCTTGAATGTGAACTTCTAGCACTGTACAAACGTGGTTTTGCTTATCAAAAACTATATAAATTCGATTTTGCTTTGGATAATTACAGAAAATTTTTAAATCAAGCGAAAGAAAACAATAAAGATGAGTTTATTCACAAAGCATATTTTTCAATCGGTACTATTCATGCTGTATTGAATCGACATGAAGAAGCTGTACGTTATTTTGATGATGCGATTCGAACGAGTGGTAACAGCAGGGAAGGTAAAGAAAAACTTTATTATTTACATCGAGGACGTGCTCGTGCATTTTGTGCCAATTTTAACGAAGCTGGAGATGATTTTCATATAGTTATTCTACAAAGTAAGAATCCTCTTCTTCAAGGCTGCGCATATAATGAATTAGGTCAGCATGAGAAAGCTCTTCAAGAATATAATCATTGGTACGAAAGTCCATCAAGAAATGATAATAAATTATCACCATTATTACTCGAAATACTTGATGATCATGTTCAATTGCGACGTGGTTTAACTTATGCCAGTCTTAATCGCCATGATAATGCAATAGCAGATTATCAATATATATTTAATAAATCAAATCGATTGACTGCATCAGCAATAGCTGATCGAATATTTTTTCGTAAAGGTATGTCAAGTATGGCTCTCAATGATGTACATGTGGCATTAATCAGTTTTAATAAATCAATATTATTAAATAGTTCTCAATCAGATGTATTTTATGCGCGTGGAATGCTGCATTTTACGTTAGGACGACACGATGCTGCTGTTTATGATCATCGACAAGCATTAGAATTGGGTGAATCAAATTCCATAATATCATCAATCTATCAAACATTTTATCATACACATAATTATAATCCAAACAACGTTGATCCTCGTATATTTCATCAAAAACAAGTACGTGAAGCTGAAGCAGCACTAAAGCGTCGTAAAGAAGAAGGATTACCTCCAGAAGAACAACATCGACGAATAGCCGAATATCAGCAACAACTTGCCCCCTATATGCCTAATCCTGAAGAGACTCATCGTCAAGCTGAAAAACATATTCAGCAAGCCCTGCAATCTGCGGCAGCTAGACAAATGTATGATAAGATTACATTGGCTATTAATCATCTTCGTACATCTCAGATGTTGTCCAATAAATATCCCGCCGGAATCGCATCTGAACGTATCGTAAAGGAATTTATTAAGTCATCAATGGACAGTATTGTAGAAATGTCTGAAATATTGGGAAAATGTGCATTAGAAAACAATTGGAATGATCTATTTGATATATTTTATGAATTAAAAGAAATTTCACCTACAAAAACCAATAATCCTTTCTTTATATTTCGTTCCGAATACATTCAAATTGAGTTCAAGAAAGCTGAATTGATAAAGAAAACAAGCGAAAAATTCAAAGATTCTCCTCAACAACATGAATTTTATACATTGTTGGTACTTCGTTTATGTAACTTGTTTGATGCTACACGTATAGCTACGACAGGTATCTTTCAGCATACACTTACAGGCACTTTCACGAAAATATCTTACATTCCCCAGCTTCTTGGATATCTAGGTCATTTTATACCAGTTTTTGGTGGTACTATTAAAGCTGGCTTAGGTATATGTGGAGGCTGTTTGAAAAAACTTGATCAAAGTCGTATTCAAGAAGCATTAACGCATGTAGGATGTCTTGATCAACAAGAAAAATTATATGAAGCAGCGAATACAATATCTGAAAAGCTAACCATGATGTATGAATCACAACTTGAACGATTTCCAGCTTTGAAAGATGACGATGGCATCATGGAAAACAGCGTAAAGAAAGCATCTTGTTGTCATACTTGCTGTCAATCCTGTTGTAATTGTTGCAAAAAATCTAAAGCTTGGATTCCTAATGAACGTGAAAATTCCAATATGCAAAGTATTGTTGAATATGCATTTGACCTTCTAGTTAATAGTCTTACAGATCTCGAAGTTTCGAAAGTGAACGCTGTTGCTGATTTGAATGACTTTTTCATCAATTCGATATGTCATTTATCTTATCGACCGAAGATCTACTGTCATATTACTACGACAAAAATTCAACCAAAAGATACTACGAATGAAGAAGCTCATTGGAGTACATATGATTTCTTTCGAGGACCTGGCATTCGATTTAAAGCTGATGATATTAGAGTTGATAAGCATATGGACGTAACAAAATTTGGATTCCGTGAACCTTCATGGGAAGAAATTCGTTGGTACAAAAATAATCCAAATAAGCTAAATGACTTAGGCCTCAACAAATATAATAAAAACTAAAACTGTATAATAAACAGTATTGAAACAAAGAGCAATTTTTATTCACGATGACATGTTTTATGAGTATGAGCGTGATTTTCTCACTCTTTATATGGTTTCCATTTTCAATACAAATTCGTAATAACTCTATTGAAAAATATAATAATGACATTGTCAAGCATTGCTGCTATAGTTCACTAATAAAATGGGTTCCCTTCATACGCCATATGCATTACAAATGTAGGCAAAGGTTCCATAAAAGGCATAATGGCTTGCAGTTCTTCGTCTGTATATTTTTTCATAGGTAAACTGTCGCTTGTTAGTGGTGCAGGTGTTGATATTGGTTTTTGAGTTACCTGACGACGAAGAGAAGCCAAATCTGCACTAAATTTACTTAAATCGTCATCATATTTGTTGATTTTCTTTCGTAAATCAGTAATTTCTTGCTCTTTTCTTTGCTCAACAAGTTTAAAACGATCATCAACTGCTTGTCGGTCCGGCTTTATTTGATTTAAGTTATCAATTTGGTTTCGAAGATGTTGAATTGTATCTGTGTAATCTTTGAATCCTTCTACTGTACTAGGCACACTATTGTCATGAAGTCCTGACTCTACGTTAGGAGTTAATGAATTATTCTTTTGATTTTTTGATGTTGCCTTCTCGGTATTGCTAGATTGTGGAGCCGCTGTTGTTTGATTTGATTTCTTCATTGATTGTGAACGTTGGCGTTTGGATGGATCTATCACTCTCTTATCATCTTTTTCTGTTGGGTTTAAATTTGCGATTGCGTCACGAATGAGTTTTTCGACTTCTGCACGCGAAATCGTTTTCGGCGATCCATCATTAACTCGGTGCTCCCACTTTTCAAGATTATCACGAGTATCACGACCTAGTTTTTCAAGGGGATTTTCTCTGTTCGTAGTTTCTTTTTCATTTGCTTTAATTGCCGCACCTAATGTTATTTGTTTACCTTCTACTGGTATCGCGTCATATGATCGATGTAGATGAGAACTATTGTCACACAGACTTTTTCTAGCAGCTGACGTTGGAATTTCTTGTTCACTGTGTCGTTTATCCCTTGTAGAAGCATTTATCTGTTGCCAAAGTAACTCAGATTCACCCTTCATTTCATGTGTTCCTTGAATTTCTCTTTTGTCGTATTCTTTCTTCCATAAATATTGTTGTTTTCTGATTTGTTCTTGGTTTTCTTTCAATTGGCGAAGTGTTTCCGGCAAATTAAGCAGGAAAGTATTGCTTTCATTTATTTTAGCTAATGTTTTCATTCTGTCAATAAGTTCGTCAAACTTCTTCAGAATTTCGTCGAGTCGATTTCTCTCTGGTATTTCAGGTTGATTCCAAGGTCTAGATATTAAATAATTCTAACATAATTGAGTTTATCAACAGGTTTTATGGGATGTGAAATAGATGAGGGACAAGAAAAAGTGGAAGTCATGATAATAAAAGAGTTCATTCTGTACTGCTTTGTGTTGTACGTGACTAAGAGAAAAACTCTTTTAGATAGTATAGATTTCAATAATGTTTCAGGATATCCACAATATAAAATTCTGAATCAGAATGATCTTTATGATTTCAGAATAAGAGGCTCTTTTATGGTAAATTCTTACTGTGCCCATGGTTCAATTTGAGTAGTAATCGGTATTTGATCATCTTTGAAATTGTTCAATGTCGGATTTCTACAATGAAAATAAATATAATGAGTGAGACAATTCAATACATTACTTTTCTATATGGCCATTGTGCTTCACTCGAATCTTAATTGGATGTATACGTCGCATATATTTTCTCTATGAATGAATCACACTGAAATTTGTTACATTGATCAATGGTTTAGAAAAATACTTCTATTCGTCCAAATTGGCATTGCAATTGTTTTTTGACGTTTTCCATTTCCTCACATAGTGACCTATATTGTTTTTCACCTAATTCAATTATTCTAAGAAGAAAAATTGTTCAACTAATCCTAACATCACCTTGTTTTCTCCTGAAAAACATACACTTCAAGTAATGCTTCTTCAAATTTAAGTTGATTTGTACGTCCGATTTCAATATTCATGAGTCGATTTTCGTACTCAGCCTCCGTTAAAATGTGTCCACTTTTATTTATCTATATATAGAAGAAAAACACAAAATCACCATCGGTTTAACAACCAAAAAAAAAGAACAACGCACTAAACCCGCCCTGCGTAAATGTTGTCGAATACGATCTCTTGTAAAGTATTTTTGCAGATATCTATCAGTAAGAATGCAGTAGGGTCTATGTGATTTCAAAAATTATTCGAAATACTTTTATTATCTTCACTTTTACTTAAGAAAATTAAAGACTTACGTTGCTGGTGGCATTAGTGAAGTTGACATTGCTTGTTTAAATGGTAACTGATCGATTGTGATTTTTCTTAAAGTCAGGAAAAAATTTAAGTTGTGAAAATGAGTAAAAGCGCTGCAAACAAGACTTGCAACGACGAAGAAAATTTTCTCATGTCCTCTACTATTTAACATAGACAACACATTTTCTGTTTTCTGTTTTTGCCATGACTACAATTTTACTTCATAATTTATGTGAAAAAATCCAGACTCGGTTGCTCGCTTTTTTCTTTTTCTTCCGTCTCTTATTCACTAAGTTCAAATGAATTTCTCTACATCATTGAATAAAATACAGGAAACCAAAAGAGAGCAAAGAACGAGAAACGACTGTTAATTTAACGGGTGGGCTATAAAGCATTGCCCTCTTAGTATGCTTAAGCTTTCTGCTCTATTATTCATGTAATTAAAACACTTTTGTGAAACACAACCTGAAAGGTGCCCCAATCTCCCCCAGCCCGTTACCGATAGGGGATTTACCCATCACAGACCGTTACAGAAAGGTACTGTCCCTATTACAGACCACTAAACATAAACTGTGTCGAAGTCGAACAAGGAGGAATGTCGAGGCGTTCAGAGTAGGAAGTTGGATTCCTTCCACGTATATTTTAATTAAATGATTATCTCATTACGATATAATTAGTTAATTACCAATCAAATGCCCTAAAAGACAGACGTTGGAACTATCACAAACGGGTTAGCAACTTCTGGGAGGATAGAGAGAAACAGTTAGGATATACCTTGATGAATTCTGGTGGAAGTCGTCGTACGTTCAAGGCCCACATCATGTACAATATTAGTAAGTATATGACCTATTTCAGTTTTCCACTTGTAGATGGTGCATTAAAGTATAATGAAGGAAAAGTTCAGAAATATATAGCCTAAAACGTTTTGATCAGAATTAGCAGCTACATCGTGTTTCACACCTTAATCTCAAAGTGATTGTGCTAATAGCTTTTTCATATCAAAAGGTGGCGCTTTAAATTCTCTACAAAATCGTATATGACTAAGGCCAAAAACTGTTTAAGGTAGATTTGAAAAAAAAAATGAAAAGTAAAGACACAAAGAAAAATGTAAAATATAACTGGTCGGACATAATAAATGGCCGCACTTTGTATCTCATTTTCATTTATTCTTCCTATTAAATAACAGAATATACCAAAAGATGCAGCGTGAAAAATCCTACAATTTACATTAGACCGGTTATTTTATAGTTGTACTTTTCAACTTCGAAATGGACTAAATCGTGAGTTATCAAATTTCGACGGTGCGGCAATGATATTTTTTGGTTCAAGACGAATTCGTTTTTTTTTTATTGCATCTTGTTATTGCCTGATATGTTGTATTAAGACAAATACAAGTAGCGCTCATCCTATGGATTCGCTGACCCTTTTATGAAAGAATAAAAATGGTACTTCATTGTGAATTACAAAAGCAGTCTATGATGAACTTGTAGGGAGTTTGTTTCGGAAGATAGTTATGCAACAGAGTAGCTAATTCAGTCGTGATTTATCGCCTTATTCAACAAGTAACGCTACCTTAGTGTCGCTAACCCTCTACTAAACGGATATGAACATTTAAAAAATAAAAAACGCTTACGTGAGACACTTCAGATAATTCCCTGGTCGAACAATACAGTTTGTATATGGCCGTGAAACGTTAAATACGGCCACTATCTGATGACTGTATTCAATCGCCCGGATTATAGCTTGGTAATAATTTTAACGGAAAAATTGACTGATAGCTAAGCTTCGATAGAAAACCTACTTGTAAGTATCATCAAGCAATATTTTTTAAGTGCTATTTATGGATACAAAATGACTAGAGTGAAATAAGGTGCGTCGGAACTAATAAAGATAGAACAACGTTCAGAAAAATTTCAATAAGCTCGATATAAAATAAAGAAAAACAGCCATCCAAGAGGGCTATCATCAAAATACTTCGTTTCCGTGATCCTGTAACTCAAACTAGTCTTGACACTATAGAAACCTAACAGGAATCCACACTCATAGATTACAGACCTAATCAAATCCTGTTTTTTTATTTCGACTTCAGTTCGATTTATCTAGATTTTTGCTCAATTTCATTTGAGCTCATTTCGATTCGGTTCGTTCTCGCTCCGTGATGCAAATATAAGCATTCCAATGTGTATGTTTAAAGATAAAAGATTCTGAGACTTACTTGATTCAATTCAAATCCCACTCTCAATTCAAAAAACAACTAAACTTATTAATACTTTTTCGATATATATAAATTTCAGATATTTTAAGCGAGCTAGGCAAAGTGTTTCATGGTGGTGTTGCACAAAAGCTAGTAGATTGACGCCATTTTCGACAATTGTTGCAACTTTTCTAATCTAGATGACGTGTACATATTCTGAAAGTTGTCAAACAGTGTAGTCTTAATTAGAATGGCTTTTCTAAGTGAGCGGCTAGTCGTTCGTTGGCACCCCTATGGGGCGCCAGCCACGGCTAGCCATTTCCACAAAATCCGCAATGCGTAAAAAAGACCATCAGTAGTTACTCCTGTAACACCTTGAATATAGACACAATATATCTATCATTTTCATCATCACTGAGCCGCACACTTTCGAAACAGTACATTATGCAACAGTCTCTAACGGAAGGTGCGATGTACTAAATTTTCTGAATTCATTATGAACTAGATCGAACTGGTGAAATCACAAAGCATTAATTGCACGCCTAATTTAAATCAGTTTTTTTCCTGGAATCAAGAAGTTGATTAGTTAAGGATACTACTTTCAAATACCCATCTGCAAAAGAAAAATACTTTCAATCGAATTTTTAGTTACTCATAAATTTCCTACATTTTAATAAGTAGCTCTATTTTTCGAACTGTGCTGTAGATCTCAGACCGCTGATGTTTGTTTACCGAAAAATTAACTAGGCTACTTTGAAAAGTTGAACTCCGATTCGGATTCCCCGATCCCGAGTACCCTTGGTCAAACTTTATAAAGAAGCATCTTTTTCCTAAAAAAATATTTCAGGGTCGTAAAAAAGTGAAAACTCAAAAAATGAAAAAACTGCTCTCGAATTCGGATTCCCCGACCCCGATTACCTTTGGTAGATCTTTTTCGGAGAGCCGGCGCTGAAATTTTCATTGGTTTAGTGGATACTGAAATCTGATTGGTTTGTCAAACAAACATACATACAAACTTTAAAGATATTTAAGCTGCGTATAACCCTTTCTTTTAGAAAAGGGAATAAAACACATCAAAGTATGCAGCGTGAAAGCTCTACAATTTAAAAGGAACAATTATGAAAGGCGGGTGTGGATGTGGATGTGAGTATTAGCAAAGAATACGCCTAAACTCACATCCACATCCTCTCTCACACCCGACCATTACAGAGACCACAGAAACCATCACAGACCGTTACAGAGAATTCCGCAAACCATCACAGACCGTTACAGAGAAATTAATTAATTAATTAATTAACCAATTATCCAATTGATTAATTTCTCTGTAACGGTCTGTTGGGCAGGGGCGGGGGAGGGGTTCAAATTTCTACTCTATATACTTCAACACTCCTTTCAGATCGTGTTTCACAAAAAGAATCTTGTCTGACAAGCAAGAAGAACAAGAACCTGAACAGATCGAAGTCAAGATCGTCGACTATAGCGTAGTGTAGAATATTTCAATTGTTCGAATTGCTTGATCTTCACTGTATTCTTTGGTACTTGCTATTTGAAATATCAAGATTTCGTGAGTTTCTTGGATTCTTACATTTTCTTCGCATGGTCAATTTCTTGATCGTGACGATATTTCTTATTCTCGAAGAAACCATTTCAATAACTGATAATTTCAAGGCAAAGAAACATTATTTCTTTTCGCAATAATAGCTAGCGATGCAATGCAGCGTGAAAGTGCAATAGCTGATGACTATCGGAGTTACACATTACAACATGGAAAGAAAGATCAAGTTGAATTTGCATTACAAAATATTGAACGAAAGTAAGATTCATATCTTTCTATTCTTTTTTTTTCTTATGACAATTGCAATTTCTTGTTAAAGACTAATTGATTTGAAAGAACGAATACATAATATTAATACTAATAATCAAGTATTAGTAAGTTCTTTTTTCAACATATTTCCCTTATTTAACTATTCTTTGTTATAGAATTATGATCAACAATGTTTTTCACCTGATGACTGAAATTAAAGAAAAATCTTTGTTTAGATTTCCTCAACAATCTACACGACAATGCAGCGAAAACAATCTTTATCAGAAAAATTCTCTGTTTGTATCTTAACTTTTTAGGTATATATATATAGTCGGCAACAAAAGTTTACGGCACTTTTATTTTTATTTTTTCTCTATGAAAGATCACACGATAATAGCATCCGAATAGTGCTTTCGGTAGCTCTCAGAGTGGACTAGAAGAATGATGTGTAGCGATATCTGCAAGGCAATTTTTTATTTGTTTATGAAAAAAGTATTTTTTTTCTCCAGTGATCAAAAGTTTAAGGCACCTTTTGGCATGATGGATATATCTAGCGAAGAAGTACATATACAATTTTTTTCCTATCTGTTTTTTACTTTTTACGATATTCCCTGTTTCTCTCTTTATTAATCAAGCCATTAATGGGCAAGACGCCGATTGATACATTTATTCGAGCTCAGGCGGTGGCTTTACATGGTGCTGATCTCAATCAAGTCGAAATTTCAAAACAACTCAAAGTTTCGCGATGTTGTGTATAAAATGCTATCAAGAGTTCAAAGAATATGGTAGACTCGATGATTTCAAACGTTCAGGACGCCCAAAAAAATGAATGGTCGTAGCATACGTCACTTGAAAAGATTAGTGAAAGGGAATTCCCGTCTCAGTGGAAGCAAAATAGCTTCAGATTTAAACAACAGCTTACCAAAACCAATCTCGGTACAAACAGTACACCGGTATCTCAAAAGTTTCGCCTTTCAATATGTGGCAAAAATACAAACACCGTGGTTGAATGCTAAGTATCGACAACGACGCGTTGCCTGGTGCACAAAGTATTCAAGTTGGACATGTGATGATTGGAGAAATGGAATTTTTCTTTGATGAATCTACACGCTTTGTTTTAAAACGAAAGAATCTCTGCAAAATATGGCGTTTGGAAAAGGCAAAGCTTCTTCCGAAATGTTTGTAGCAAACCAACGTAGGCGATGGCGGTAAAATTGGAATATGGGATGGTATCTCCGGCTTTGGCACAACAGCAGCTAAGATTTATATGGAAAATATGAATGGTCATTTAAATTGTGATGTATTACAACACGAATTAAAGCAACTCATCACAGAAATTCCTAACAAAACCGAAATGTTCTTTCAGCAAGACTTGGCCCCCTGGCATACCTCAGATACAGTCAAGAAGAAAATTGCTAAAGTGAAGTTAAATGTACTAGATTGGGCTCCAAAGAGTTCAGACTTAAATCCAATAGAAATGCTATGGCCAATTTTGGACAAAACACTGGCTTCCAAGCCAATTTATGCAAGACAGGGCCTGTAGGACCGTCTTCAGGAGGAATGGAGCAACATTGATCAGAATTTATGCATTAAGTTGACTGAATCAATGCCTGAACGAATACGAAAATGTTTACAAGCCAAAAGTGGACATTTTTTGTGAAATGAAATTCTTTTTTTCTAAGGTTTTTGAAAAATCAAGTGAACATATGAAAGGTGCCTTAAACTTTTGATCACTAGAGAAAAAAAATACGTTTTTCATAAACTAATAAAAAATTGTCCTTCAGATATCGCTACATATCATTCTTCTAGTCCACTCTGAGAGCTACCGAAAGCACTATTCGGATCGATTCGGATGCTATTATCGAGTGATCTTTCATAGAGAAAAAGTAAAAATAGACAATTTCGTAAACTTTTGTTGCCGACTATGTAATTATATATGTTTTTAAATTATATTTGAGATTATATTGTTAGTTTTATTCATGTTAAGCTGTATTATTATTACTACACTGACAAAAAATATTGCACAGAGTTAAGTCTTAAGTCAAAATGAAAATGTTAAAATTTTGAAATCGCGTTTCTAGCCAATGCGTCTCCTTTCCCGTTGACAGGTTGTATCATTGGCTGGCAAGACCATTGCACCGTTTTGTCTGAACAGGCGAGATTTCAATTTTATAATGAGTTTATGCATCCACATAAGACAAACTATTGGTAAAACGAGAGGTACCAAGTACACAAGAAAATTAAACGTATCTGAGTGTGCAAGAAGAAAATTTGGACCGATGTAGATTTGTCCCAGGTGGTCGATAGATAATGGAATCCAAGCAGCAAGATAAACAAAAGAAATCATTCCTAATTGTAAAGCCAGCTTTTTTTGTTTACGCCAATTATTCTGAACACGACCGACCACCATCGAACTTTGATGAATAACTCGTACCACAAGAGCAAGATTGAAAATAGAAATAATCAACACTGGAAAGGTAACATTAAAGAAAAGATCAAATGTACCCCAACTTGTCCTTAAATAACAGGGCAAACCGCATAAAAGACTATCAAAATATCTTGTATTTTCACACATTGGACTAAAAATCACGACGATACAATAATAAACCGGTGGCCAAATCATACATAAAGCTAAAGGAGCTATGCGAAGTAATCGTCGCTTTTTAGCCCCGAGATTTCTAAGAAAGCCACTGTGAAATATAAGTAGGTGGCGTTCAATAGAGATCCATTCCATTAGAAAGCCATTAATGACATTTAAGGAAAATTCATACCAAATCCACCAAGTACAATAAGCAGAGGTGGCTGGTTGAACAATGCCATCCAAACGATAGAAATCCATCGGCATTGGAAGATCAGTCGTCACTTGAACAAAATTAACTACAAGTAGAACGAGTATCGAGTAATTGTGATCTTTTATGGGAGTGTTGCGATTCCAACCAAAATAAGCAAAGATAAAAATCGAAACCACAATTGATGGAATTGCAAATGCAATTAATATGGCGAACTTGGCCGAATATGCCACTGAATAATTTAGCATATTGCTTGTATCGTTCGTTGACATCGCTTTTATAAAACGGGAAAATGTTGTTTTGCTTTATAGTTTATCTAAAGAAAGAATCATAATCAACGCGCTTACTTAGCTATTAATACCAAGATGTTTTTGAAGACTTTCTTCTAGTCACATTCTTCTTCTGAATAGAAATTCAATTATACTCTCTCTCTGTTATACAGAAAAAGCATTAAGAAAAGAAAGAGATAACTGCTGTAAATAGCATTTCATTAAATGTTTATTTCAAACAGAAATAAAACGAGAGAGATTCGAGCTTTTGTTTCCTGCCTGAAACAGATCATCAGAAATTACATTGTAAAAGATTTCGAGAAACAGGATAGGTGATGTTGAACAATGCTGCTGAAGTAAAATTGCTGATGTTACGTGACGTGATCGTCAAGATGAAATATTATGATTATATACACTATATATTGTCGTTGTTGTTAGATTGAAGTAAATAAGATAAATTAAAAAAGGGATATGAAGAGGGCAAATTTTTAACAAATGAATAAATAGCTATCAATATAAAGGTGTAAGTATATATATATATAATTAGTGGTATCTATCATCACCTTTTCAGAACGGTCGTTTCTTTCTTGGCGCGATTTCATCGACTCAAACGATGCATCCAGCAACATGTCTTATGCATATTTCATTTCGAACTGCTTAAGACCAAAAATAGCAAAGCAAATAACCCTGTAGGATAAGCTCTGACCAACTCGCAATTACGACCAGTTTCACACTATAGCGTTCCTTGATTTCACTCGAAATTATTGATTCAAGAACTTATTCTACATAGTTACGTACACTACATAAAATCCGTTTTCTGGGAAACGAACAGGAGGCATCCGGGTTTGTCACTATATGAAACCCTTTACAGGTTTCCGGGAAAAGGTTTCCGAGCATTTGGAAACTTATCTGAAACCGTCACAACCAATCAAGCAAGCTGACGATTCTGAAAACCTAATGAAGGTTTCTGATACTTCCGGAACCTTTTAAACGTTTTCCACAGCTATAAACCAGTCACCGATTCACATAGGTATCTGTTAGCGTCCATGATAAATCACTCGGACGCTCACTTAGCATTCTATTGCGCCTTCTAGTCTAATTGACTTAGGATAACTGCCCGGATAGCAGGAGGTGTGGGTTCGATCCCCACGAAGGTCAGTGTTTTTTCTCTCTTTCCATTCTTTCACTGTATGTCCATCAGAAGCTAACAGTATCCGACACTGCCAAATTGATTTTTCGTTTGAAATAGTATTTTAACAACACGCATCTAAAGGTTCTCAAATCCATCGTAGTCACGAAGCCTCCATGAATCTAAAAGCTCAAAGTCCTCAATTCAGCCTTGCTCAATAGGTCTTCATCACCGCCACTGTTATTGTCTTCCAATTAAGACTTCCGATGCCTGTTCGAACCCTATAGTGCCCCGCTATGGCTATCTATAAAAGTCAGGATGCTTGCTAAAGTGAGAGGCATCCAGTCCTAAACTCCTAAAGTCAGTGTTGAAATCAGCCAAAGTCTTGAATCATCCAATATTTTAATCTCAGAAAGTCATAAACTCTGTAAGTTCCCCTAAGCCAAATGTTTGCGGCCAGTCGAGATCTGCGAATATAGCATTCCGCCAGAATTCATTTTATAAACCTAAATGGAAAAAAAATACATATGACTGAAAAGATAAACTCAGCATCTCGTCTTCTACTCAAAATTCTAAATGCAGACAAATAATATATCTCATTAAAGGAATCAAAGTCATCATATTATAATTCATTTCATAAGTCTGAAGGATGAAAAATAATATATCTTATTAAATAAAGCAAAGTCATCATATTGTAATTGATTTGATAGGTCTAAATCGAGAGAAGAAGATTATATATGATTAAAGAATAGAAACTCATCGTCTCGTCTTCCATTCGAAAATCTAAATGCAGAAAAATAATATATCTCATTAAAGAAATCAAAGTCATCATATTATAATTCATTTCATAAGTCTGAAGGATGAAAAATAATATATCTTATTAAATAAAGCAAAGTCTTCATATTGTAATTGATTTGATAGGTCTAAATCGAGAGAAGAAGATTATATATGATTAAAGAATAGAAACTCATCGTCTCGTCTTCCATTCGAAAATCTAAATGCAGAAAAATAATATATCTCATTAAAGAAATCAAAGTCACCATATTATAATTCATTTCATAAGTCTGAAGGATGAAAAATAATATATCTTATTAAATAAAGCAAAGTCATCATATTGTAATTGATTTGATAGGTCTAAATCGAGAGAAGAAGATTATATATGATTAAAGAATAGAAACTCATCGTCTCGTCTTCCATTCGAAAATCTAAATG